CTCCGTAGAGTTTGAAAAGCCTGATACAGAAACTATAGATGATTTTAAAATCCATCATGAAATTCATTCTTACGTCATGAGAACAGTCTTACTTTGTGCGCGTCACATCTCCACAGCTAGACGCCCCTTACAGATACAAACATGTTGAGCATTATGTCCTCTCTGTCTTATTAGCATAAGTTTGTGCCAAGTAGACACCATGACTTGAATGTGTGGAAAAGAAGTGGGGATCAGAAATTGTCTAAACCCTCAGGACCTTGCTTCTCTCTTCTTTAAGGATAAAGTGAAATGTATTGAATGCCTGTGCAACTGATATAAAAGCTCCTGACCTGTGTTAACCCCCTAAAAACATACAGCTGCTTCCGTTGCTCCTTGGAGTGAGTTCCATCCCTGACAGCAGAATCTTACCAGGCCGCCTGATCAAATTCTCTGAGCACGCAGGCTTGGGGTTTTCTCCCATTGGTGTGCTCCCATTTTAATTAAAGGCCACCTAGCTGGGGTTGAGCCTCTCCTGTGGTCCTGTAGCCCTCGGGGGGTGTGGCAGCTCATTTTTATTTGCTGAAGGTATGAATGCACCGAGATGTGAGTGAGTGACTGCCCTACTTGCCGAGTGATCAGAGCAGAAGTGAAAGCAGGAAGTAAGTGGGTTTTTTAGTTTGTATGTTTCATCCGGAGCTCGGAGGTTATTCCTGGCCGTGAGTCTGATGCTTCTTACAAGAGAACTCCTTGCTGGTGTTTGGAAGGCAAGCAGCACCACTGAGGTGGCCAAGAGCCCTTGGAGAAACGATCACTTACTTAACCATCAGCTTGAAACAACTTTGTCCTCGCTTGTGGCCAGGTCCTCCTGCTGTGTTAGAAAGAGCCCAGGACAGAAGTCACAGGAGTAACCCTGGCATCAGTTACTTATTTAACCTCTGGCAGTCCCTTAACCCCTCTCCGCTGGGCTTGCTTTAGCTGTGGGAGGAGGAGGCTGGCCAGACGGCCCCCGGGATTCAGCATAATGGACCCTCTAGGAGCAGCAGGAAGTTACTCAGAGAGAGGTCATGAAGAGGCTTGGTGACTCAGCCTCAGGACAGAAGGAAGACAAGGCTCCCCAAAGTCCTGGTGAAGAATCAGACACTAGAGTCAGCTTCCTCTCCAGCCTCTATTTCCGCCTCTTTCTGAGGGCCCCCCCATGTGCTGGTCCTAGCGCTGGTAAACACTGGCTGGGGAGGAAGTCTCATGGAGCCAGGGCCCCTCGCCTGTCCCTGCCATGCCTTCACCCACTCGGAAGGAGCAGGACACTAGCCCTTCTCGGCCCTGGCCTCCCGCGTACACAGGATGTGGGAATCCTGCAGACCAGCTAATAGGATCCAGTAACCAGGGCCCGCTCGTTAAGTGTTTTTAGTGTTCCCTGCTGCACTCGGGGCTCAAAGGCTGTACTTACTGGCCACTCTCGTCTGCTTTCCATGGATAAACATTTCCCATCGCCTCTTTTATACATGATGACATTGGGGCCCAGAAAGGGGAAGTGGAGGACCCATGATCACGTGGGAATCACACACCTGGGTCAGAAGCCATGAGTCTACATCCAGGACCAGCCATGGTCCCAACCGTGGCTACCAGCCCAGTCGCGATGAAACCACTTCTGGTCAGTTGTTCTGTCTTTGTTTTCAGGGCAAGGCCAATTTACTAAGGCTGTTCTTGTTTTTTCTTTCCGTTGACGTATAATCAGTTTGCAGTGTTGTGTCAGTTTCTAGTGTACAGTGTAATGTTTCAGTCATCCACATACATAGATAAACTCCTTGTCATATTCTTTGTCATTACAGGTCACTACGAGATATTGAATACAGTTCCCTGTGCTATACAGTAGAAACTTGTTGTTTATCACTAAGGCTGTTTGTTCTTAATCATGATTCTTGTTGTTTGTTAGTCTTTGATGGAAAGCTACTGATACCAGGGCACCTCTGGGTGGAAAACCAGAAGAATCCAGACAAGAAGAGAAGGGAGGGGAGGGCGCAGCCCAGTGGTACAGCGGGTGCTTAGCACACAGGAGGTCCTGGGTTCAGTGCCCAGTACCTCCATTAAAAAAGTAAAAATAAATATGAACAAATGAATAAGTAAACCTAATTAGCCCCCGGTTTTTAAAAAAATTTATTTTAATTTTTAAAAAATTAGAGAAAGAAGTAACCCTCATCGTTTACAGCCTCGAGAGGAAAGAAAAGGCCCTGAATAGGACGGAAAAGATGTGGCTGGTCCTTCCTACTTAGAGTCACATTGTTGCTCGTTTGTAAGCATCGTTCCCCTCGTAAAGTTAACCATCCATTAGTGAGTAAGAGCTGCTCCCACTAATTGGTGGCCCCACGTGGAAAGGAACATAGTCAGAGGGTAGAGAAACGGGCCAGGTGCCCAGACGCCCACTTCTGGTTCCATCTCTGCCTTGCTGGGTGGCCGTAGGCACTTTCCCCTAATTTCTCTGAGCCTCGTTTTCCCCAGGAAGAAAGGTTCCCACTTGCTCTTCCTGGGGGGGGGGGTGCTAAAAGATCAAAGAAGGAAATGCCTGCTTTTTAAAGATGCCCAGATGAAGTGCATTAGAAAGGCCTTTTTAATAGGTATTAATTAATAAAGCCTTTGATTACTGATGGACCCATGTGTTTGAGCTCTGAGTTAGCCCCTTGGGCTGGCCTTAGGAATTAGGCAGAATCCTGAGGGTCTCGCCCAGTCACAGCCATCGTGTGCCTGTGAGTCTTTCTGTGGAGTCACAGAGCACGTTGGCATCCTTACCTGGTGGCTGGGTTATGGTGGCTGCACCGAACCAGGGAGGCTCCCCCGAAGTGACTGAGAGGATCAGGGGTTGCCCCCAAACCAGCACATCAGAGCCCAGTGTGCCCTGTTCACAAAGAGGAGGCCAGAGCAAGCCAGAGGTGGACAGGCTAACTTACTTAGAGATTTCCGGGCCACAAATGATCAACTTTTATTCTCTTAAACCCCAATGAGAGGGCTTGAGTTTAAAAAAAAAAGATTAAGAAAAGAATTGTTTTCGTTGTTTTGGAGTTAATCTCTTTTATTTGCCAGGATTTGGGAGAATTAAGAACACCTAGGAATCACACTAAGATCTGAGTTCATTGAGCACTTACTTTATACTGATACCTTGCCAAGGATCTGTTGCTTCTGCCTTAGAGGAGCCTTACTGCCATTTTACAGAAGGGAAAACTGAGGCTAAAAGGAATGCTGTCACTTGCTAAGGCCAAACAGTTTGGATGCAGGGGAGTCAGGATTCAGGCAGTGTGCCGGGCCACTTTGTTCTATGTGCTACCTCCACCTGAGGTCAGTGGCAGGGATCTGTTAGCTCTGGTGCTTTTGTGTCTGTAGTGAAGTTCAGGTGGATGGTCTGTAAATACCTACCAGTGGGGGGTCAGAGAGGAACTTTGCACCTTTCATCGAGGGGCTTAGCATAGCAGAGCATCAAATAGGAGCGTGAGACTCAGACCTGTGACTTGAGCAACAGACTCCGCGGAGGCATTTCATCTGTGATCTGACACAAGGCTCTCTGAGCATGTAGGACCTGCTTTCCTTGCAACTGAGCTGAAAGGAGCAAAAGAAATCCAGTTTTCCTTGGGCTTCAGAGCAAAAACATACTCTGAGCCGTACACAGAAGAGGAAGCACAGGAATAAGGGGGAATTGAGGTCCTTCCCCCCCCCAAGGCAGACAGGACAAGCGTAGATTCTGCACAGCAGGTTGTGAAAAGAAGGCAGCCCAGTCTGACAAAGGGGTGGAGTCCTTTGGCCCGGCCCTGAGGTTGGTGGGACACAGAAATTGCCGTCTTATCTTTAAGGAGAAATGTGAGCAGATCAGAGGGGCCAGGGCCCCAGATGAGAGGCCTCTAGGTCTGAGGTGAGACTGTAAAAGCATATGCCTGAACACAGTGGGCGGAGAAAGGGAGGACCCTGGGGAGGAATTGGCCACACCCAGGATGAATGTCTGTTCGACCCGTCTTTGGGCTAAATAAACTTAAAATTCTAGGTCTATAGGAGAGGCTGCAGTATGCATCAAACATAACCGTAAATGTGTATAACTTGAATCTCTTTTGATGTTTCCTAGAGAGTTGAAGTAACTTTCTTTTACTTCCGATGAACTCACCCCATCCCAGAGCCAGGCTGCAGCCCTACTCCCTCCAGCTTCTTAGTGAACAGGCTCACTGACCAAGGAGGAATGTTCCCCAGGGCCGGAGGGGGCCAGGCGGGCAGTGCCAGCATCTCTCTTTGCTCCCACTGTTCAGAACTGCCTTAATTTCCCTGTCCCCCTTGCCAAGGTCAGCCTGCCCCTGGCTGCAGCATCCTGGCCCCGGGACTCCTGATTTTCTTTGCGCAGCAGAGAGAAGCAGGGACTTGACAGGCTCATAGTGTTATCTTGAGTTGCCTGCCCCCACGTAGGGTCCTGGCAGCCCCCGCCCTTCTCGAGCCATCCTGGATCACCAGGGCGAGTCCGGGCTCTTACACATTAGTGGGCAGGAAGTGGAGTCCCGATGGGAGGCTGGGAATTTGACCGCCTTTCCAGTTCAGCAGTGGAGGGAGGACGCTCTGCTCAGTACTGCAGGCAGAAGGCTGCTGCTCCCTTCTGAGAGCCCGCCCTTCTCTGCTGCTCCCCTCCCTCCCCTCCTCCCCCCTTCTCCTTGGAGGGAAAAGTCTGCAGAGCTGGGAACTGTCTCAGAGAATTCAACAAAGGCCGGGCAGAGCGGGGAACTACTTGAAAAGAACTTGTTTTGTTCCCGGTGAGAAGCCTGCAGGAAAATCCACACCCACGTTGCCGGGGTTTTGAACTGGAGAGCAGGCGTGTGTGTGTGTGTGTGTGTGTGTGTGTGTGTGTTTGTGTGTCTCAAGCAAGAGACAGAGGAGGTAGAAACAACCGTACAGGCTCAGCTTTGATAAGGAAATTGCCAGCTGTAAATTCAGCCGCAGGGAGAGGACGCCGGCCGTGACCCACCCGCTGCTGAACTTCAACTGCATTGTTTTCTGTCCAGATATTCCAGTGGAGACAGTTGGAAAACCTGTATTTCAGAGAGAAGAAGTTTTCTGTGGAAGTTCACGACCCACGCAGGTAAGCTCGAAAAGTCTTTTTCCCCTGGGAGTGCGTGGCCAGCTGGCATATGATTCGTGTGACTGTCTTTTGTGCTGTCACTGTTCGTGTTAATTTGGGGTGGGGGAGAGAGGGCGGTTGATGGGGAGAATAGAGTTCCAGTCGGACGGAGGAGCTGTGCTTCGTTCTGCGTGTTGGTAAATGAGCTCATGTGTCCGTGAAGTTAACGTTGCCTTGGTCATTTCATCGGCTGCACGTGCTCCTTGCCTGCAAGCCTGGGGGTCTTAGGAAAGACATGTAGCACTTTGGAGCGATCACCCACTTAAACTGGGCGGTGGTCTGAGTCCTTTTAGGAAGTTTTTGCCAGAGAAGAGTCTGAAGGGTAGCTTGTCAGAGCCTCAGAGAATGTTTCAGGTGGGACGGTCGGTACCAGAAAGAATCTACAGCTGAAACAGTTATGCTAAACTGTTTCGTTCCGGGAGCTGTAATTTTAGGGTGTTCGCTGCTCGCTGTGGGTGAATGTGAAAGAAATACTAGTCTTTTTCTCTCCGTCTCACACTGTATCCCAGAAAGTCAAAATCAGTGCTCTCCCGAGTCCCAGGTGCCAAACAATAGGGTCCGGTTTTGGCATGCAGCAAGCGTTGTATGGAAGGTTCTCGGGGCAGCGTGTACCATGGCCTTTCCTCTCTTTGTCTGCTAGTCCTGGAGTTGTAGGCAGCCCAGAAACAGCAGCAGAAGTCCCCAAAACAGGCCTGGCACTTAAGGATAAGTCAGTTCCAGTAAGTCAAGCCGACTTAGAGCAAGAAGGGAGCCCTGGGAAAACAGTGAAGAGATTGGCTCTGTAATGGGGTGTTAGGTGCGGTCGATGCCCGAGTCCTGGCTTGGGAAAGAGGACTTGCTGGCACCAGCTCCCCACACACATGGCTTCTGGGCACTCAAAACAAGCCGCGATACCTCCCAGAAAGCTCTCAGCGTGAGAATGAGATTGGCCCCATCAGAGGGCGAGGCTTGTGGGGAGGTCTCTGTTCCTGCAGCCAGCGATAACCCAGGAGGACTGATGTGGCGTTGACTGGTCGTGTAATCTGCGTGAGACAGCACTGCTGTGTCGGGGGACAGCTCCCACGACGCCCCACGGTTACTACATAACGAGCAAGTGGAGAACATCTCAGAGATTCCATGTCTCCACAGTGAGGTGACAACGGGACCATTAGCAGAAAGACAACCTGTGCAGTGTTTTTCAGGGTCCTGTGAGGAAAGGTCTCATGGGCCAGAGACCCTGGCTCTGCAGAGCAGGAATCCACTGGTGCAGGCCAGGCTGGGGGGAGAGAGAGATGCAGAACGTCCCCAAGTGCATGTTGCCACAAGGGGTCAGATGCAGAAAGGGGATGACCGGCAAAAGAAAGACTGGAGATTGGATGATCTCAGGACTGAGCTAAGGACTAGTCAGACTCTCCAAGCCTGTGCTCTGCTGGGAATTCTGCTAATGCAGAGGTACCTTGGACACATCCTTGAGAGAGAGAGAGAGGGAGTTTGTGTTGTCTCTGAGTCTTATCCATGATGCTGAATTCCCTTCCCTTTCCCAAGGCCCGGGGATATAGCGAAGAGCCCAAACCTCACACGTTCCTGTTGCGTGGGCTCCTAGCCTATTAAATGAAAGAGATCCGTCTCACATTTGTTGAATAGCTTCCACGTTCGGGCACTGTTACCGTTACTGAAGGCAAGTTTATGTGCCCATCGCACCAGGAGGCCAAACTGAAACATCGAGGTTTGGAGCAGAGAAAGGCTTACTGCAGGACTAAGCAAGGAGGACAGGGTGGCTCGTGCCCAAGAAACTCCCCAAAGGGTCTCAGCAAAGCATATTTGAAGGCCAGGTGGGGTCGGAGGGTGTCGCAGGGTGCGTGATCAGCTCGTGCACAGTTCTCTGATTGGTTGATGTCAAGGGAACAGGGTGGTCAACCCTGTCAACCCCCAGGCGCCAGAAGGTCTGTGGGGCAGGTGCTTTCGATCATCACATAGTTAATTTCTTCCCTTTGGTGGTAGTTTTTAAGCATCTGAAAAACTCAGGAAATATGCATGAGATACTGTTATGTGGGTCCTTCAGAGAGGAGCTACCGCAGAGGATCTGGGGGAGGGTCTGATCCTGGAAGCCCCACAGGGTCCTGCTCGGTCACATTATGCGTCCTGGGGTAACGAAAAACGCCTGAGACAGGGTCCGCTGCCCTAGTAGAACTTCTAGCACAGATGGGGAGACAGAAGAAGGAACTTGATGTTTATTAAGTGTTTACCATTGGCAGCCACTGTTATCAATACCTGGACAGTTATCTCCTTGGGTCCTCACTGTGACCCCAGGCAATAGGTACCAGCATCCTGTTCTACTTGGGAAACAGGCTCAGAAGAAACAAAGTAACCTGCTCCCAGTTACAAAAAGCTAGTTGAGGGGTGCAGGCAGGATTTGAACCCAGGGAGTTCTGGCTCGAAAGCTCACATGCCTTACCACCATGCTCTGCACGGGCAGCAGGTACCAAGTGCCAAATGGCACAGCCTATAAATGCTGCAGGTGGCCAGAAGCCAGGCTGGTGAGAAGAGGCTTCCAAGAAGGGGAGATCTGAGCTGTGGATGTAAAGCTCATGGTGGGCTCTCAGGGGGTTGAAGATGCTGGTAGGAGGGAGATTTCTGTAGAAGGGAACGGAGGGGCCCAGGGCCACCCGGGCACAGAGGGTAAGCACGTACCCTCATCCGCTCCAGGAGAGTGGCCTGTCCACCCAGAGGCCTGCAGGGAGGGGAGAGGGGAGGCACGGAGAGGCCAGGGATGTGGCTTCCTTGATGTCAGGGGTGGCAACCCAAGGTGACTGGTCTTTTCCAGACGCACACCGCAGCAGGCAAAGGGAAGTGTCTCAGGTTAGCAACTTGGGTGAGCGACAGAGCCAAAGCTGCCACCGGGTCTCCCGCCCGCAGAGCAGCAAGTGCTCTTCTGCGGCCTCTTGGCGCTCCTCCAATTAATGTGTCATCCTGTTGCTGTTGCCTTGTTTATTTGAACATGGAAGAGCCGTCTAATGGATGGTTCAGGGGTCAGCGCCTCTCCCAAACAGGAAGGAAGCCAGGACCGATGTTGTGGGATGATGAGTGTGGGGCGCAGCCATGCCCTAAGGATGTCGGTCCTGGGACACGAGCAGGACGGGGGATGGCTCGGCCGAGGGGGCTTCTGTGACGGATCACAGGAGATGCTGCAGGGTTTGTTCTCCTGCGCATACGTCCTCATTCGGTACCCACCGCTGTTTCTGCAGTTCTCTGGGCGTGGCAGATACTCGGTATCTAAGGTTTAGGCAAAGCAGAGAGTCGGTGGGGTGCGAAGGGCCTGAAGGGAACACTGTGGAGATGAGATAAACTAATAACCGAGGAAGAGGATCACTCTCGGAGCATCTGGTTTAGGTGAACTCCCAGGCCGGCCAGCCTCTTCCTCCTCCTCCCCCGCCTCCTCTGAAAAATACACTGAGCCTGGGGCTGCTCCCACCACTGCCACTGAAACACATTTCAAGTTACTTTTCCTTTCTAACTCAGCTTTTTTGGCAGAAAAAAAAAAAGATGTATTTACTCCCAGGCTCAGCTATTGCTGTAGAAGCCAGAGCGGGCATTCAGGTCACCGTGCGGAGACCATGGGAGTTACCGCCTCACCATCTCTGCTGCTCCTTTTCCATTATTTTCAACCGTGTGTCCCTTTGCGAGCTGGCATTTTCTCTTAACTTTTTGCTTTAACCAAGGGGAAGACCAGTACTCTGTTTACAATCAGTAGCATTAACTAACCACCAGCTTTGAATTCCTCCTTGAAAGTGGGTCTGAAGGACACCTCCTGTTAAGTCTTGGCACCCCCCCACCCCCACCCCAAGGGAGGTGGTGGGGACAGCTTCTAACTTTCTTCAAGGGAAAACTGGCCATGATAGGAAAGTGATACTCACAAGTCCTGACTGTCCCAAGTTTCTCCCCAGTGAGGTGGCTCAGTCTTGAACACACATTTTTCTTCTGAAGTGCACGTACGCTACCCCACCTCACCCGCTGTGCCGCCACCTTGCCCCCCCACATCCACTCGCATACACGCGCATAAGCAAACACGCATTGTCCGACTTCACTTGTAAAATAATCCACCCATCCTATAAACACTTCGTTGAGAGCATGATCCTATAACTCGTTTTTCCCTTGATACCATTAATGCGGTGAATTGTGTTGGGACCAGCCTTTCCCGCCTTTGATTTAAAGCCTCTCTCTACTCCATGCGTCTGTTCTCTGTGTCTCCTCCATGAATGTGCACGTGCAGGTGGGGTAGTGGGGAGGGATCGGCCAGGCTCGTTTCTTCCTGCCTTCCCTCTCCTGATCCGTTACACCCTGCCTGCCCTCGGAATATATTTGAAATCGGTACCCAACTCTTTCCAGGCACATTGCTTGAGAGTAACATAAGGACTCCTGATTCCCTTGGATGCTTTGGCCTGTGGCAAACAGAAGAGAATTTCCTCCTTCTTCACCATAGGCAGCATTTCTTGGTTAATAAAGGATGTTATCAAAGGCTGTGTCTGTCTCTGAAATTTGTCTTGGTCCAGTGCCAGGAGCTGAAGCCCAGAGAAGACCGTCCTGTGACCTAGAATGACCCATCTTATTCCAGACAAGGCAGAGGCTTGGCCAAATTCTGAACCCTAAGGAGCCACCAAATCCTAAGACTGGCATTATTCACAGTGGCCAAGATGTGGAAGCAACTTCCGTGTCCACTGATGGATGAACGGTTAAAGAAATTGTGGTGTACAAACACCACAGAGTATCGTTCAACCTTAAAAAAATACGGAGATCCTGCTGTTTGCAACACGGATGGACCTAGAGGATGTGATGCACTGGAATAAGGCAGACACGGAATGAAAAGGCCTGCACGATCTCACTTCTGTGTGCAATCTAAAAAAGTCGAATATATAGAAGCGGAGAGCAGAGGAGCAGTTACCAGGGACAGGGAGGTGGGGGAAACGG